ACGATTTCCTCCAGCTGAAACACACAGGTTCACGGGCTGAATAAACACTGCCAGAGAGTCAGGCAAGTGAAGGATGCCCAAGGACAGATCTTGGAGAAAAACCAGGAAGTGTTTTTTTTCCACAAGGACAATTACTCCAGGAAACGTTACATTCCATGCAGCCTTGTAGTCCGTCTATCCCGGGAAGGCACTTCCTGACATAAATCAATCTGCTGCTGTCTCACATAAATCCAGTATTATCTCATGCAACATATACAACGGACTGTGAACAAACCACGCAGATTAAGGTCGCCTCTTAATGTCCAAAACTTTGCAAAAAAATAAAATAAAATAAAAGGCCACTGGAGATCCAGTGTCCTCACTCCTTCTCAAACCAACTTCCACTGATTTTAACCAAACATCTAAAACCTCAATTTCATTCCTGATTTAATTTTCATCATTAAAATGCCTTCAGCAGTATGTAACTCCATCAGCTCACCTAAAAAACACCAGTGGAAGAAAAGGCCGCAAAATCTACTCAAGGGCTTCTTGTAAGCAGTGCTCAGTGGACAACTGCCAGAAAGTTGCGATGCTGACTTCCTTGTAAGCCTGACATGTCAGTTACTACAGTTACAAGAAGTGGGTGAGGTTACAAGATACTCTGGATGGAGTATTTCAGATTGACTAAAAGAGGACACAGGAAGCAGTAGAAAAAATAAAATAAAAAAAGAGTTGAAAAGCCAAAGTCAGTCTGTTTTGCTCACAGAAATGTTGGAGGAAAGACTGCGACCAGGATCTTTTTAAAGCTGCTGCTGAGTTTATCTAAGAGGAGAAGAGAAGTTCTCCTTTAGGTTCACCAAACTGACCTCTCGAGGCAACTCAACAAGCTTGAGAAGGGAAAGAGGAGAGACCCATCAATATTAACTTACCACTGAGACCTCCTTTCCAAGCTCCTAAATATTTAATCGTCCTTGGACAGCTCTGTTTCTTCGTAGGCTGAGCCAGTGTGGATCCCTTCTATAAGACCACTCCTGTTCCTGCTCAATGAAGGCCTTGTCCAGTGGCACCACACTGCCCAAGGAACGGGCGTCTCCAAAGAATTCAGGATTTTTTCCACCACAGGCAGCTCTAGGCTGACAGAGCTGGTTCACTGTGTCTCTTTAGAGAAGCACATAAATCCTGACTTCAGGCTGGAAACCTGAGGACGCCGTATAGATGGTTGCATTTATCTCATCAGCATGGCCGCTTTGTACCTGAAGTCTTAATTTGCAAAAAAGCTCGCCCCCTGTTTGCTTCACATGTCTGCCAAAAGATAGACACAACCATCTGAGCTACATGGTTTTTTTTCAGAAGGGGAAAGGCAGTGTTGAACTGTTGATGTTCTTATGGAAAGCAGAGAGGAGGAACCAGTTTGTCAGCAGTGTAACGTGGCAACTGACAACAGAAACTGGAATGGCACCTCTAGCAAGCCACTTCCTTGTCCCTTTTTAACCCTGAGATGTTATGTGTTGGTTTCAAACAGGCCTGTACCTAGTTACCTAAAATCACTTGTTTGATCAAGGTGGCTTTAAGCACAACACAATCAAGTCTTGCAACTAAATCCAGAATGGCACGTGATTATTGAATGTGGAAGGTCAGTGTAGTGAGGGTTTTGCTGGTTGGTAACGACTGTAGTGCTGTGGATGTGGGGCCTGTGTGTCTCAACACACTTTACAAGTGTAGCAGCAGGGCCAGGCTGCATCTCATGAGCCATGCATCATGTCAAGAAAGCACTCACTGGAGCATTTCAATTTGCTTTTGTGTGCCTCCCTAGCCTTCTTCACTGCCCCAGGTAGAGAAGAAAGGAGGAGTGCATCACCCAATGTGAGTGAGTGAATGAGAGAGGGAAGGAGGGAGGGAGGGAGAGTGTGTGCATGTGAGTACAAGAGACACAGAAAGAGAAGCAAGAGTGAATGATGAGCTTCACAACCGTTTCCTTTCAGTGTTCAAACCATCACAGAAATCTCTCTTGTTTAATCCTCCATCCTCTCTGTTGAGATTTTTAGCGTAATCCCGAAATACCTTGTGAAAATCCAGTTATGTAATTTTTTTCTAACTGTATCACCACCATAGTTCCCTCTGCCCTGTCACCTTAAAGCTGAACTGCAGCAACAGTGTGTTAAATATTTAATGCAGAGGTAAAATTCAACTACTGATGGCCTTTGTTGCACTTCAGATGTGATGTATAGTCTCAGAAACCTGTACTTCTATATTACCAAAACACAAGGGTGTTCTGTGTGAGCTACTTTGACATAAATTGAATACACAAATGACTTTAACACTATGCACAAGTGATGATTATTAACATTATTGATTAATCTGGGGATTATTTTCTTCATCATTCAATTAATCTTTTCCCATCCAATTTCCCATCAAAGTTTGTGACATGTTTACAAATGTCTTGTATGGTTTAAAATCCAAAGAACTGCAATTTACAGATATACTAGGACAGAGGTGAGCAGTTTTTATTGATACACTGGTATAAATTAAATAATAGCAGCATATGATTATGCTGGAGAAACAGGAGAATGTTAATTGGCCAATTGTTTTAGCTTTGCAGGACCCTGTTCTTTTTAGTTTTATATTTAAAATACTACCTGACAAACCTGTAATAATTAACATGACAATAAAGTAACTGTTGGAGAGAGAACCTGAGGACTTGTGGAGGCCTCTCTTCTGTTGTCCACTGTGCCCTGTTAGTAATCCAACCTCAGTTTACTACAACACAAACTACTGGAAATGCATTCTCGGCCACAGCAGAAGAAAACAGTCCTGACCCACGCGACCTTAAGCAGAAAACCTGAGCAGGAGCATATTAACTACTACAGCAGCACTTCACAGTTTCTAAAGAGCCAAGAATGTGTGAAAGACTTGTGAAAGTTACAACAGGAACTCTAAGTAGCAAAGAGACGGCGCACACTGGGTCGGAGACAATCTGTGGAGATCACGTCCACGGTTTTACATCAGTGGGCTAATTTCGAAGAACATCCACCTTCCGCCTAGACTATTTCCATTGCACCCGTCTGCGACGCAAATGTGTCGACCGCAGCAGATTCCTGCCCAGCCGTCCTCTTCCAGCTCCTCCTTGAGAACCTGTTTGCCCTGCCACACCGGAGGAGAAGGAGCATCGCCACCATTTTGATTGCTCTCCTCAGCCCCGGCATTGTCGCAGCACAGTGTGTCAGCTCACAGTCTCCTTGTCAGCAAGATTTCACACAGTGGCCAGGGGGGAACTGCAGAGCCACACACACACACATATATAGAAAAACACACTACGGCTTCCAAACACACCTCCACCCTCCTGACAGGCAGGTCAACACACACCTCAAGGATGTAATGTGTGACGAGTCATCTAAGGCTGTGTCTTGTATGACAACAGAGCTTGGTAAGAAATGATCAAGAGCGTAATCCATCAGTCCAAATAACTTTAAAAGTGATCAAACACACTTGAAACACAGATTAGATCAGTTTAACCTTGACGTCACAGCCATGTGTGTCGCTGGATGAAAAAAAGAAGACTTCAATATGCTCCTGTTTAACTCATCAGTCAACAAATTATAAACTCAAGAGTGAAGACGGGATCCAGGTTCAACCAAAACCAAAGAGTTGTCTTGAGAACTTTCTTACACAAGAGTGTGTGTGTACATGTTTAGTGTGTTGAGACCACTTTGTTGAACATTAACCACCAGCATGTCCAAATCACTGCATTATTCAGCACAACAATTCAGACCTCATTCATGAGTCCGAGAGCCATCGCGGTCGCAAAGTCCAGAAAAGTGTCAGCTGCAAACAAACAAACAAACAAACCAAATAATCCCACACACTATTTGCACGCCCTGGGTTGTAAAATGAATGGCTTGCACAGGCAACCTTGAACTATCCAGCCTCACTTTGTCTAAGTTCTTCTTCTGCTTCCTCTGTTTGAATACAACTTTAGAGCGTTTGAAAAAGCAGAAGAAGAAGAACTGGAAGAAGAAGACAACCTCTGTCATGGCGTGAGGGGATCCTGCCTGTCTTGTCTGTCTCTGACTCCAGGGCTCTCTCTCTCCCTCTCTCCTTGGAGACTCATCTGCTTTCCTCCATTTTATGGTGAAGCCCTTCCACAGCCTGACATACCTGACTTGAGACCAGTGACAGCAAACACACACAGTGCAGGAGGAGGGGACACACACACGCACACAAGCGGCTAACAATGTAGCACTGAGCACCACAGAACAAGAACAACACACTGGGATTAAAATAAGACACAAATACATGAAGGCGCACAGGAGACATGTAGCTCCAACCCTGTGGAGCCAGAAAGCTCCTGTTTTGAAATAAAGGAGGAAAGGAGGAGGGGGCACGTACGTGGTGAGTGTGTGTGCATGTGTGTGTGTGTGTCTGTGTGGACCCGCGGCTAATGCCAGCTCCTCTGTTGTCGCTAATGGAGGCTGGAGAGCAATCCGTGCAATGGCTTCTCCATGAAGCTAACGCGCAGCAACAACGCGCGGCCGGAGAGAGCGCAGGAGGTGGTGGAGGGGTGAGGAGGACGCACGGCACGGCCAGCAGCGGGGCTATAATATCCCCCTGACCAGACATGTCAGAATAACAAAACACCATCTCTCTCTCCACCACCGTCCATTTCCTTGTGTCGCCGCTGACAACAAACCGAAAGGCGACATAGCAGCGAGGCAGCGGCGTTAGGAAACGAGAGGAAGCGAGAAGACCCACTTGACTTTGGGTGCCACAGCCGGAGCGCCTACCCGGCTTTAAAGCACCCTCTCCCCCGGCTTTCCTCCTTCCCAAAGTCCCTGCCTTGGACTGGAAGGAGAAGCGAGGTGGTGGAGGGGGCGATCAGCTCTTTCCAGGTCATTCACGAGGCGCTCTCCAAATCATATCCCATGATCTACCATCTAGCAGACCTTGAAAGCCCAGCGGAAACCTTGGAAATACGGTGCAAGAAGAAGAAGAGGAGGTGGTGGGAGAAGAAGGAGAAAACTCACTGGTACAGTCTTCTCCTCGAGCGATCCTCCCAAAAGTTGTCCTCGTATTTCATGCGTGCGCCCAGTCGCTCTAATGGATGATCGCCATCTTTCCTGCTTCTCCTCCGCGCTGCAGCTGCAGATGACCTGAGATCCGTCTGTCTCTGAATAATGAGCAACCACACGGACGAGGAAGACAATCTGCGGAGCGGGCTCACACAAAGAAGTTTGGGAGACGAGCAGGCACCAGAGGGTGCACAAGAGTTTGCGATGAGACGAGGGCGCATCAGCGGGATGGACAACGTCTGCGTCTGAGAAGCTCATCCTTCATCCAGACTGAGGGTCGGGGAGGGAGAAGCCTGCAGAGCCCTCAGCCAGACAGACCCACCACCACCGCCAGATTACATGCCGGCAAATTTATATAGGCTTTCTATATAGTGTGTCTGCCACGTCATGGGGTTATCTGCAGTTCACTTTGGTGGTGGTGATGCTTCTCACTTGATCCACACAAATACTAAACTCAGATTAGATTAAAGATTACATAGATAGATAGATAGATGCATTCATATTATAAAATATTAGCCTATGATAATTTGGTTACCTGTAGCTCACTTTGATGCTTCCTTTACACCTCAACCACAAACACACAAGAAAGGTATTATCTCATATTTTGAAAATAATATAAATAATCATATAATTAAGTTCTTTATAAAAAAAACTAATTTATTGGAAAAATCTAGTGCTGTCTTTTTTACAATATATTTTTTTTGTCACAATTTTACATACATGTAAAAAAAAAAGGGGGGGGGGGCATGGGAGAATCTCTTCATGATCAATAAAAGACAAAAGATTGTGAAATTGATTCAAATCATCAAAAACAATGAAATAAAAACATGATAAAAAAACAGACTATTTTGAAAATCTCCAGTTTTTCCTACATACTCATCATCTTTATTTCTATAAAAGCAAAGCAATCCATTCACACGATACCTTCTGCTCATTATTCATAACAAATAAATATATGGATGTTTTGCCGCGTAACTGTAAAGTAGACATGATGCTGCTGCAGGCTGCTGCTGCTCCGTCCACCAGCAGCTCTAACAAAGAAGGAGCCCAAGACAAAAGGTGCAGGGTCCTGCTCAGATGTATGTCAGTGCAGAGGATGCGTGAGTGGGTGGGTGACTGGCGGACAGGCAAGCAGGCGGGTGGGAGGGGGTTTAGCTGCAAGAAAGGGGGCACACACAGGGGAGCGTGGTTATCGAGGAGAAGAGTGAGGGACTATAATGTGATCTGAAGACGTCGCTGTCTCACGATGGCTTTTGTTCAGAAGAATTCAACGTGTTTGTGATGCTCAATGCTCTAAATGTTGAATTAAAATATATTTCTATCACCGGGCCCTTGAAGGGCTCTTGTCATATTTTTGCAATTTAAAATGTATTTGTTATGACAACTTCATAAAAAGACACACGCTCCAGAGTTCTTATGTCAAGAGCATTTGTGCACTCAAACTATCTTTAGATCTTAAAGTTCCAGTGTGTAAGATTAAGGTGAAAGGATCTATTGGCAGTAATTGGATATAAAATAATCCCTAGAATGAGCCCTTTATATTTATATTTAAAATATTTACATTGAGAGCGGGTCCTCTCTGGAGACCGCCATGTTTTTTACAGTAGTCCAAACTAGATAAAGTCAACACCTTTTGAGTTTTTATGACAACTGAAGGCTACCACAGCTTCTCTTTCATGTTTGGAAGGGGAAAGTAAGGTAAGGGGTGTTCAGCTGCAACATGACACTTCACCACTAGATGTCACTAAGTTCTACCCACGGAACCTTTAAGATTTTTAAGCATCATGTATAATTTCAGCATATTTTTTAAATAAATATAAAAAATGTGGTAAAAGTATGATGTGTTGCTTGCTTTTATTTATCTGTGAACTTCAGTGCAGCTAAGGAACATCGCTTACATCATTACGGTGGCCTTGAAGTGTAAATCACAAATAACAAAATGTTCAGCAACTCACATAACATATGGAATAGTGTCCATCAAATCAGTGACAAGCCTTGTTAATAGCAGGTACCTTTTCAGGAACGCCATAGTTTTTGGTGAGATCAGTGTTTGCTTTTAAAACAGCCCTTGTCCACAGTGGGTTTTTTTTGAAGGTACATGGCAGGTATGTGGTCCCCAGCATCATGGAGAACCTGCCACAGTTCCTCTGTGGAGTCAGGCGTCCTTTGTGTCTCCTGTTTCCACATGTAATCCCAGACTGACTCCATGATGTGGAGATCAGTGCTCTGTGCAGGGGGGCACACCATCTGTTGCAGGACTCCCATGTGCTTTGCTGCTGAAGATAGTTCTTTATGACCCTGGCTGCATGTTTGGGCTCATGCTAAAGAAGAAATTTGGGACCAGATGCTGCTATGATGGTACTGTATGACGGGTACCACTCTAAACATCCGCACTACATTAAATGTCTGCAGTACTACATATGAATTGGGTGATTCACCAAAAATCTCAATAAAGCTTAATATCATTAAAGCCCATCCTCTTTAGGGTATAGGACTTATTGTCTTGCAGAATTATTTAAAAACACATATAGGGCGGCTGTGGCTCAGGGGGCTGAGTGGGTCATCCACTACCCAAAAAAGTCAGCAGTTTGATCCCCAATCTGTACGCCAAAAGAGTACTGCACATTGATGCACTGTATTGATGTGTGTGAATGGATGAATGGCAACAACTACTGTAAAGCACTTTAAATGGTCATCAAGACTAAAAAGGGCAATATAAATACAGCCCATTCACCACATATTATTGCATTACATTTGTCTGAATGCCAATAGTGTTTTTAATTTGAATACTTGTTCATACTAATAACTAATAAAATTCCTCTGCATGATGTATGCAGTTGGTTTTTTTCTTGCCTCTTGCAGACAGTAGATGGCAACAAGAACATTTGCCCTGATTAATCAAATAAAAGCATGTGACCTGTTTATTCTCTGAGGCTTTACAAGTTTTTACCCATTCATAAAAAAGTTGTTTGAACTCCAGACACAGCTTTTTCTCTGTCAGTATTCAAATACCTGGAAAACCATCAACAACAAATCATGCGCGTGTGCTCTCTGGTGATTGTTGCCTGATTTACAGGCAGAGACACAGAGAGGAATTAAATTTGTGTAAGATGCAGACGTAGTTAATCATGTTTGACAAGTGTTGCTGTTTCCTCTTGCGAGGCTCAGTAATGAATTATGGATCGTGGAATGCATATATTTTTGATGGGATTTAATAGAAACCTTCAGATAGGAAATGATATTCAGTCACTCTTTGTACCAGCGGCCTGCTGTTTGTGCCACCACGGCTAATAACAACAGGGCTCCATTCTCTACAATGTTGTTACTCAGTGTGATAGAAACAGTGTCTGAAACATGTGACGCCTTTGGAGCTGAATCAGGTGAGAATATGAAATATTATAATGTACTACTAAGCATAAGGTGACAGATGGAAGCAGGAATGAGCCTATTTTTTTGAAGCGCCTCCATAGTGCCAGTTCCTTTGCTGCAGTGACGTACGTAGCCCCATGTATTTCCCATACACTGTGGAAAATGATCAAATGATTGGCCCAAAAGTGACTTCCTCCTCCATCAGCGTTCTGCCTCTGACTCGCTGTTGTTCTTTTCCCTCAGACAAACAAACAAAAAAAAAATACTGGTGTTATTTACTCCAACATCATTTTGATATCTCAACAGATCTTTGAAGGAATGTCTCTCGTGGAACAGAGTGTGAAATATACACACACATGCATACATACACACAGACTGTGTTGATGGTGCATCCTGTGGGTGCCAGGTAGCAGCCGGGGTTTATCACGCTGCTCGGGCATATGGCTGCTGCGGCAAATCTGATTAATATGGGATGGCCGGGGAGTCCAGCGTAAAGTGTAGGACAGACTGCACCAGGACATCCCCACTGGTGTGGCCTCCCCCGCACACACACACAGTGCCAGGCCTCGCTCCAGCGCGGCTAAAAACAGACTTGTCGTCAGGGATTCAGATGGTCTAAGCAGTGGGGGAGAGGAGGGCAGAGGGGGGGCGCTGTACAGATTTAGAAGACGACCAATGACTTTTTGGATACGTTAATATTCATGTGGCACAATTTAATTTTATTGCAAATTTAAAAGAACTTTTATTCTGTTTTTTTTACTAGTGTCGACTTTTTACTTTAATTTATTTATTTATAATTCAACTCTTTATATAGCACTTTTTGACCCCTCAAAGAACTTTACTATATAGTTTTGCCATTCACCCATTCACAAACACAGTAGTACATCTATGTACAGCACTGCCATCAGGGGCAATGTGGGGTTCAGTATATTGCCCATGGAAACCTCGGCACATGGAATAGAAGAAACTGGGACTGAACCACCAGCCCTCTGGCTCTACCTCCTGAGCCACAGCACCTTCTATTGTGTATTGTTTTATTGATGTCCTGATAATTTCCCTTTTTGATGTCTGTAAGGTGTTTGGGTGTCATGAAAAATTATTATTATAATAATTATTACCATTAACGTTAGTATTATTACCTTTAGTTTATTCTTTTCTTTGGGTTTTTGCAAATAAACATGATTTAGTTCATGATTGTCATCGCAGAGGTGCCCTTTTTGAAAAGTTCTCTGCACTGGAAGTTAGACGCAGCAGAGTCCTGCATGGGTCAGCAAACATTACGAGAGGTCAGGTCTATGTGCTGGAGAGGACAGAGGAGACACAAGGAGAGAAAGTGATTGCTGCTCTGATGTGTGAGTACAAGTATTCCTTAATTCAAAAATACCTTCAAAGTCTTTCCCTCAAAATAAAAAAACGCACACAACCCCACACACATACAGTGAACACGTACACACAACTCTGGAGTAAGTTTTTTTTCTTATCAAGTACAACGGGCATGGAGAATGAAAGGTCTCCTCTGATAGACGGATTCTGTCACGTCTTCTTAATTGAAATCGCTTTTTTTTTCTATGAGATTATGATGAAACATAAGGGCAACGCTTATTGTTTCCTTTGTCAGTATCTTCGGCATCGCACCAGAATATCTTTTTACTCCAGAAATTACACCGCAGCTATGATTTCAATTTTCAATTCAATTTATTCGTATAGCGCCACATCATAACATAAATTATCTCAAGGCATTTCACAGAGAAAGGTCATGACCTCAGATAAGATAAATCCAACAGCTCCCAAAAAGAAGAAGCACTTGGCGACAATGGAGTGATTTAAAAAACAACTCTCTTTTAAATCCCCTTTATCATCATTATCATTATTATTATTCTCATCATCATTATGATGCTGCCTACGAGGGACATTTAGACAGGGACGCCACATCCAGCAAATTGTCATGTGTCTGAGTGGAGGAATGATCATGAATTATTAATGCTTCAATTACTATTTCATTTAGATAAGCCCTTTAAGTTGTCAGCAGAAATGTTTCCTAAATGTCTCCATGTTTTCAGAATTACCACACGTTGAAGGCGCCTGTGCTGTGAAACAGACAGTTGTGCGCTCCAACAGTTTTAAGATGCAAATCAGGTGAATGTGAGGTCCAGGGGCAGTCAAAGGTGTGTATGTGCCTGTGTGTGTTTATCCATGCAGACTAGTGGCCTGAACCAACATATCAAAATAGTTTTGGCCACACCGAAATAGTAAATGGTCTGTGTTTGACCATTTAAAGCTCTTTCCAGTACAGTTTACTGCCATCTACCCATTCACACACAGTCATGTAGAGCATTTATGGGCAGCACTTTCTCTATTAGGGGCAATTCGGGGTTCA